GTAGAGAGCTTTGGACATTTGCTGAAAATAAACATAACGAAGTTTTTGATAATAATAGTAATAATACTAGTAAGAATAGTAATAGTAAGAATAACAGTTTAATAAAAAGATTATTCAAATTTAGTAGGAATAACAGTTTAATAAAAAGATTATTCAAATTTCCTAAAATTAAAAAACATGACGTTGACCTTGATAATGATGGTAGCGGTAGCAGTGGTAGTGGTGGTGGTGGTGTTTCGCAACAAGTACACAAACCACATCCAGATGCATATGATGAAATTGTTAAAAATAATAATGAAATTCTTGAAAATAAAAGTTTGCAATATAATAATAGTAACAACAATAGTTTAATAAAAAGATTATTCAAAATTTTTAATAATGATAGCAGCAGTGGTAGTTATTCGCAACATCCAGATGCATATCATAAAAGTAGAATATTAGATGAAGAGATTGCTAAATCTAAAAGCTTAAAAATTTATACAAGTAATCATAGTTCATTAAATAATCTTGATTGTGATTCTTTTCTCTAGAATGTTAACAAAGGTGAATAAAAATTTCAATTGTAAACTATTATTCATTAATTATTAACCAGCAATATTAATTAATTAATAAACATTAGATTCTAGTGATTATTGTCAAAAGAAAGAATCGATTTAATCTTCACTATAAATTTATTATTATCTTTTTATTTATCTTTTTAATTTATCCTTATTTTGTTTCTCAAAACTAAATTATAATAATGTTTTGAAATAATAAATTTTTTACATTTTTTGATTCTTGTTAAATGGTGATGTTGCGAGATGTCATTTTGGTTGATTAACAATTATGGCTTAATTTTTGGGCTACTCTTGTCAGTTAATTTCAAATAATTCAATCAGTTAGTTTATGAGTTTGCTCTTTCTTGCACCTAGACGAATATATGAGTCCAAACCTTTGCTTACTCACTAAAGCAAATTATGTCACTGATCATTATTAACACTTACTAGTTAACCAACATTAGTCCTGCCTAATTGCCCACTAAAGCAAATAAATGTGGTTTTTTACCAAGGCACTAACTACACTTGTTGCTTTTATCAAGGTGCTTTAAACAAAGAAAATAAGGACAGTTTTTATTATTAGGAGTTTATTCACAATTAATTTTATTTACAGACAGATACAGCAATGATCATTTATTAAGAAGGGCAAATGTGGCAAACAACTATATGTGAAATTAATATAATTTGTTGGCAAAGGAGCTGATATTTAGTACATGAATTGTATGGTCTTGGTGAAGAAGAATGAATAATTAATGCAGATAATTGTTCATGACCAAATAAAAACAATGCAACGATCCAATATTTGGCATGATGAGTACTGAAAGCTTTCCGTGAAAGAATTGGTCATACTACATTTAGCCCTGGCATATTTTTGGACCATTTAAAAAATTCTGAAGTTAATGATTTAGAAACAAATGGTTATATAATATTTCACAAATAATTTTTGAAGCTAATGAAAGAAAATTCTTTTTCTATGGCTGGACTGAAGATTTAAACCATAATGATAAACAAGCTTTTAATCAAAAACGTGACAGTGAGTTTCATAATATTATAAAATCACATAACTCAATATATAATTCATTCGGAGCATCAAAATTTGCACTGGATGTGAAGAATCTCAGTATCTTATCATGTATTCGTAATTGATGATGTAATCATTAATAAAAATAGACTATTTTATGGCAGATGTGCATTGATCAAGTGGCTTAATAAATTACAACAAAAACATATACAGTAAATAGATCTGCCACTCCAAAAAACAGTGCATTGGCTTTGTTTTTACATTGCATTTCCATTTTTAAAAAAATATAAGATCATCATTAATAATTTAAACTCGATTAAAACTTTGAATATATTTGTTAAACTAAAAGGTAATATACATATATATAAGAACGGTTGATGTTTTTTATGCAAGATATTTCCTTCTTTGTATTTCATTGGTCAAGATTGACAATGTTTTTATAACAAAATGAACACAGACTTTCCATTCAAACTTAACTTAACGTTAAAAAAAAAAAAAAAAAAAGACAATCCTTTGCAAAGATTTGATCAATGGGATTTTATTTACTTTCTCCAAAAGGAAATTAAAATTAAAATTATTTCTCAAATGGTCAAAATTAAAAAATTTGTACATATCGATCATTGAATTAACCGATAACAACAAATAAAATGTAAGTGTTTTTGAATCCCAGACTTGAAAATATGCTACTAACACTAATATGTTATGTGACAAGTCTTTGACAATTTGGGATCCGAGGTAAAGGTTCCAAGTCAAGGCCATAAGTTTTTGGTTATTTTGAACAGTCTGAAACGTCAGAACAAGATGAAAACCTAACAGTAGTCAACGATAGGCACCGCAAAAAAAATATATATATTTAAATCGAAACACGATTTCCTTTCAATCCTGATGTTTTGAACCAAAATAGGTAAATTTTTCGGTTGCCAAATAGAAGCAATGGTAATTCACATGATACGGCAATGTAAAAATAACCACAACCATTTATCGTTTTCGGAAAACAAAAATATTTTGTTCAAGTTTCAAACCAAATTGCAAATCATTTCAAGCCAACGTAGCAAAAAAAAAAAAAAAAAAAAAAGACTCATAACCCTTTGATTTTTCCCCAACAGTTTCAGTTTACTAAAGTTGAGCAACAAAATGTTTAGAAGATTCGTGATTCGTGCAACCAAACATTTCAAACTTGGGTACACAAAAATAATACGACAACCTTACTTTCTTTTATGTTTAAGGAAAGTTATTCTCAAAAAAAAAAATATTCCACTCTATTCATTAAAACACCAAGTCAATTTTATATTTTATATTTTTATATAATGTCACATGTTAACAAATTACCATTGTTATTATTACCAGAAAGAGAGGAATTTTTATATAAAATTGCCAATGAAATGCGTAATGATGCTAATGTTAATTCTGATAGAGATAGTAGGAAAGATTATTTTTTTTCGTTGGTCGAAAAAAACAAGGAACTTTCTGAAAATGAAAAAGAATTTTGTAAAGAAAAGTTTATTTATGAATTTGAATTACAGAAGGCAACATATAAAGAAGGCAAACCAAAAGAATGTAACAAGTGTAAATTGACAAAATACTCTGATAGATTCTGTGAAGGTTGTATTAGTTTACAATTACAGAGTCTTTTCACCACTTGGACATCTGG